AAAGTTCTCGAGCTTTCAAAAAATCGGCTCAGGACTTTCTTACCATCCTTTTAGTAATAAGAGGTTTTTGGATACGACTGAAATCTCCTCTAAGGCACCCTCTATGTAGCAAGTGTATTCATAAGAATCATGTGATTTCATTTAGACACTGCTTGCAATAGGGATTTCGTTTGTGGGTGATTTGGACGCCCTGATCAACTACGTGATGTTCGGTTTCTGGGCACAGCGTATCTTCACACTTGTCGCTTTGGTCATCATCCGACACAATCGCATTCCTGTTCATCCGGAAGCCATCCGAATGCCGCTATGGTGGTTAGTTTACAGTAATCGTTCTAAATTGCAACTCCACTTACCATAACCCAACCAAACGTATGCTGTTCAGTATCTACACTTTCCTGACGATCACAGTTGCACTGGTGGTGATTCCTATTATCCAAGAATTCTCGGTCACCGCATTGGCGATTGGAATCTGCCTCATTGGCTTCGGTCTATATTTTCTGTTTGTTTATCCAACTGTCCTGCCTAGCTGGCTTTACGTCCTCAATGGTGAGTTAGCACTGAAATAGGATTTCAAGTATGAAGAAGAAGAAAAGTAGTCAACCGTGGGAATTCTCGTTTGTCTGAAAAGAAAAAAAGCAAGCATAGACTTACCCTCCCTTTCAAAAAACGAGAAGAGCGTCGGGTGCAGACCACACACCACAAGTGACGACGGCCTCCACAAAATGTAATGTTTTCTGCCAATGAAATGATTAGCCTGTTGCAGTTGTATTCTATCAGTTGTCACTAATTACAACTATCATTTACCAAAATCAGCTATCACTATGAACACTACTAACCAGATTTACTTGGAGGCCGTCGTCACTTGTGGTGTATGGTCTGCACCCGACGCTCCTTCTCGTTTTTTGAAAGCGGAGGGTCTTTGCCAAACACTTCCTCGAAATCGTAGGCGGATGCTAGGGTAAGAATCAAGAAATTAATAAGCTATGGATGGCAATAACAATTACAGAACGTTCGACACTCGTATGCAGTATAATTTTCGACTGCTTACCCGATGTAAAGCCGGGTGTCGGTGTGGCACTCCTAGCTTCATCCGACTCATCTCAAGCTTTGATCCCAAAGAGGTGAGATTATTTGATCGCCTCTGAGTTATTTGTATCTACAAACAATTATTCCTTCTTTTCTCAACAGAAATCGAAAGATCCCATCCGCTACCGGAACAAATGCATTAAGCCTCCAATATTTCCCGAACTAAATCCTCAAAAGAATAGCAGCCTTGAGGCACATTTCATGATGGATAGATTAGAAGAGTGTGCCTGATTGCGCACTACAGTGAACGTGGTAATTGGTCGGCTAACAATGACAGAGAGGAACAAAACAACGAAGGATTCTCAACATCACAGTGCGCGTCGTGTGGGAGGCATTTGCACTTCGCCTCTACCTTTTCATTGGTTAGCTTTAGATCTTCACCTTACTTACCTGTATTCCTAGAAGCTAACCAATGGAAATTGGAGGTGGGGCCCGAACCCTGCCCTATCACCAACCCGTTCGCAATG